GTGTGTCTACAATTCTTTCCATTAAGTTCCCATTCTTGTTCAAATATTTGTTTCATCGGGAGATCAATGCATCCATCCGACAAAGAAGAAAGTTGTGTCGAGCCCTTAAGTTAGTTTAGACGGCGTATTATAGGTCTTCTGTAGTTATATATCTTCATGTATCGAGATATTTTTCATTGGACAAAACATGATCATCTCTGGGACCAGATCCGTGCTGCGAGTAGGGTGTTTTAGAACATCCCAGTGTTGTAGTGACAGTATTAGAAATGTAATGCAACGGAATGACACCTTGTTGCAGTATCCCAGATCTTTTGCGGTAGACGGTCTCTGTCCAGAATCTCATAACACCGCCCAGCACTCACAGTTGTGCCTTGGAATATGAAATTTCCAAGTTCGGCATCCAGTAAGATCCCAAAAAACTGTTGCCATGATTTTCTTGGCAAACGGTGTCTTCCTGAATTTCTTTTATTGCGAAAATGATAGAATGTTTTTATTATCTTTCAATAATATGCTTGCTGTTTTCATTTTGGTGTCCATAAATAAAACGTTGTTTTATCTCTTTAAAATGCAGGTGAGAAACCTAGAAACTTCCTATTCATAGCATGTCGTGTATTGTAGAGAAATGTCATGCTATGAATAGGAATGTTCTAGATTTCTCATCTGCATTTTACGGGGATAAAACAATGCTCTATGTCCTTCTATATGTCTTTCATGTGTTTTGTTACTCATCGACAGTGGCGAATTAAACATTAGACAGAGTAGACTTAAACCAAGGGAGAGAGAGCCCGAGAACTAACAAGAAAACAAATGGTTCAATTGATATATTGTTATAACGATATGTCATTTCACTTATTTAACGTAACCTAATGTTTCATTATTCTATTCAACAAACGGTGGAACAGGGAACAAGATTAGGGGGAGCCTTACTAAAGCTCAACCTAGGTCCTAGAGACTCGGGTGGCAGTTAATCCGTCACTGCCCATCGGGGTATTTTAAATATCATTATTGTTGTGGGCCTGTTTACGTTATTTATTTATCTGCTCTCGTATTTATTTGAAAACAATGAAATTTGTCGTTAATAAGAAAATAAGTGGACGTTTATATTTTGCATTTCATTAATACAAAATCTTAATAAAAATTAATTCAGAGATACACATTGTACTATGGAGTTAGTGGAATATCTAGTAATTTGTATTTACCGTATTTTCATACAAATATATTAATAGAATTACATTGAATTTCTAATTTTCGATATAATTAATACGTATATAAATAATTTTCCAGTTAATCCCCGCACTAATTTATGTTTATATTAATACACGTATGAATCATTTAAA